CGCCCCCGCCATCTTGTCGAGGCACGCGCACCCCCTTCCGCCTCCTTCCTTCCCGTCAGCCCCCGCGGGGCGGAAGCGGAAGGCGCCCTCCAATGAGAGACCGCTCCCGCCGCCACGCCCCACCCCGGCAGTGCCTGTCCCGAGGCCAGCCTTAAAGGGGCCGCGCTGCGCCGCTGGGCAGGTACGGGGGGGGCATGGAGGGTGCTGTGAGATGCCTGAGGGAGGTGCTGAGCACCCAAGGAGGGGCATGAAGGGTGATGGGCACCCATGGGAGGGGGTAGGGAGCATGGGGGGTGCTGAGCACCCATGGAAGGAGGTATGGAGGGTGCTGAGCACCCGTGGATGGGTATGGGCACTCATGGGAGGGGGTGTGGAGGATGCTCAGCACCCATGGGTGAGGGTAGGGTGCATAGGGGGTGCTGAGCACCCATGGGAGGGGGTATGGAGGGTGCTGAGCACCCATGGGTTGGAGTAGGATGAATTGGAGGTGCTGGGCACCCACGGGGGTGGGAAGGGGTGCTGAGCTCCTCCTGGGGGTGCCTGGAGCACATGGGGGCACCCATGGGGGCACGGAGGGTACTGAGCACCCATAGGGGTGTGGGAGGGGGGTGCTGAGCACCCATGGAGAGGGCTAGGGGTGCTGTGCTCCTTGGGGGATGCCCCCAAAACAGGAGGCAGCGCCCCAACGCCTGCCACCGCCCTCCAGCCCAGCTCCGCCATGGCGAGGCCCGGACACGCCAGGAATCGCCCGTCCTTGAAGGAAGAGGAGGCCGAGGAGGCCGAGGACCCGGTGGACGCCATGATCTCGCGGACGGGCTGCGCGGCGCAGCACCGGGCGCTGCAGGAGTGCATGGCGGAGCGGCAGGACTGGGGGGACTGCCAGCCCCAGGTCCGGGCTTTCGGCGAGTGCATGGCCCGACGGCAGCGCGCCGAGGAACCGCGCCAGGCGCCCGGCTCACGCCAAGCCCACCCCTCGCCCGCCGGGGACTGAAATCAGCGGGGACCCCCACGAACGGGGCGGCTGCGCCATTTGACCCTGGTTTGGTGTTATTTTTTTAATTCAAGCGGGTGGATGCGCCAGTAAATTCACGCTACGTCATTGGGAAATTAAATCCGGTGGCGTTCGTCGTCCTGGCTGAAGTTCTCGGCTCCGTCTGCGCTGCCGGGGATTATCGGGAGCTCGGAGCGGAGGGTTGTGGGGTCAGATGGGAATTTCCAGCCCAAAATGTCCCAAACTGGGAGCATTCCCATTCCTTGCCGTGGATTTCCACTCCATGTCCTTCCCTGCGCCATCCCAGAGCTTTTCCCACCAGGGATAACCTCACGTCCCACAGGACAGGGTTTTGGGGAGGGAATTTATCTCCTGGGAAGCCCCAGGAGCATTAGGTATCGGGGGGGAAAAAGGGGCTCTGACGGAGTGGGATGCTGCTCTGAACACCACCTTCCAGCAACTGAACTATGAAAAAGAAAATAAAATCACTTTTTTTTTAAATAACATTTAGGCTGGAAAGGGAAGGGCACCCGCGGCTTTTGCCAGGGGGAACTTTCCAGGCCGTCTCCCAGGAAGGTGGGTGCTGGGGCTGCTGAGGGGCTGGGATTTGGCACTGCCGGCCAAAAAATCACAGCCGGCACAGGACCACGAGCAACACGTGGGCAGCCCCAGTTTGGGGGAGAGTGCTAATGAAGGAGTTATTTTCCCTCTTTTTAAAGAGCTGGTCCTTAGAAAGGGGGAAAAAACCCCAAAGAAACCAGGTTTTGGGCAGGAACAGAGCCTCCTTTTAGCAGCAGGGCTCAAATTTGGTTACAACACACTTCCTAACAGGATGGGGTGATGAGGTGTCATCTCATTCCAGCCTAAATAAAAACAGCTGCCTGCACCCAATCTCAGAGTTAGAAATAAGGAGGATTGGAGCAAAAACCCAGGTGCACAAGTAATTTCTCCCTTTCCAAAGGGCTGTTGTAAAAAGTAGATTGACTTCAGGGATCCAGGGGAAAGTTTATCCTTGAAAGGCAAATCAGAAACTAAGGAGTTGCAGTACAGCATTATTAATTTGCAGAGGTTTCTGCAGATTAAAACTTGAAGAAATCCTCCTATATCAAGAGTAAAACATACAGGAAAACACACCAAAACAGGGGAAGAACTGAGAAAAGCCACATTTCATTGTGCTCCCCCTTCACTCAGTGTACAAACCAGTCAGATATAAACATGTGTATTTGTCTTTATTAAGACAAGCTTGACAACAGTGGAAATTGCTTCCAATTCACCAAATTATCAGTACGGTGCTCGTGAAGTCGCCTTCCGGAGGCTTGAGCAGCCACGGAGGAGAAGCCTCGCTCTCCCAGGGGTGGCTCTGAAATGGATGGAGCGTTCTTCTTCCTCGTCTCAGTTCATCTGCGCTAGCAGCTCTTCAAGTTCTGGTCGAGACTTCAATCGGCTCTTGAAGTCAGCTTCTGTGTGCTGTGGAGGGAGGGGAAAAAAAACACCAAGCAAATCAGAATCGCTTCGCGAGCACTTTTTGAAATCAAGGGGAAGACAAACCCTCTCCCAAAGAGAATCAAAGAGTGGAAAAACAAAAGACTTAAATGTCCGCTGAAGCCAGGGAGTGGAAATCATAGAATCACCAAATCGCTAAGGTTGGAAAGGACCTCTGAGATCATCGAGTCCAACCGTTACCTAACTGCCAGGCCCACCACTAACCCTCATCCCTAAGCACCACATCCACACGTGTTTTGAACACTTCCAGGGACTGTGATTGCACCATTTCCCTGGGCAGCCTGGGCCAGGGCCTGACCACTCTTGCTGTGAAGAACTTTTTCCCAATACCCAACCCAAACCTGCCCTGGCGCAGCTTGAGGCCGTTCCCTCTCGTCCCATCGCTTGTTCCTGGGGAGAAGAGACCGACCCCCCCGGCTCCAGCCTCCTTTCAGGCAGTTGCAGAGAGCGATGAGGGCTCCCCTCAGCCTCCTCTTCTC